AAATTACATGGTGGAAAGAAGAGAGCATCCTCTACAAACATGGATAAGAGTCGGTAATACTCGCTTTACCACAATGGCCGTCGAAGGACTGGCGCCGAATCACCAGTATGAGTTTAGAGTGTACGCCGATAACATATACGGACGTTCCGATCCATCTGAAGTAAGCAACATTGTTACAACCAAAGACAGTGGCAAGAAAACGTCCCAAAAGAGACAATACGAAGTTGACGAAAACGGCAAGAAGAAGCGAGAGTCCATGAAAGAGCCCATTAAGGACTATGACCAATATGTGTTCGATGTATACTCAAAATATGTCGCGCAACCGGTTGAAATCAAGACTAGAAGCGTCTACGACGATTATGACATATTGGAAGAGATAGGAACCGGCGCCTTCGGTGTTGTGCACCGTTGTCGCGAGAGGAAGACCGGAAATATCTTCGCCGCTAAGTTTATTCCAGTATCTCACGCAATGGAAAAAGAACTCATTCGGAAGGAGATCGACATAATGAATCACCTACACCATCCCAAACTAATTAATCTTCACGACGCCTTCGAAGATGACGACGAAATGGTCCTAATTTACGAATTGTAAGTGTAATTGTAATTTCTGTCTTTTTAATCTGCTCGTTTAGCTTGTCCGGCGGAGAATTGTTTGAAAGAATAACTGCGGAAGGATACCAAATGTCAGAAGCTGAAGTGATCAATTACATGAGACAAATCTGCGAAGGAATTAAGCATATGCACGAAAGAAACATTATTCATTTAGGTAAAGTGGTGTGTTTTAAAAGGAAGCTACAGTGTTTTTGTTGTAGATATTAAACCTGAGAACATAATGTGCCAGACAAAGAAGAGCACAAATATTAAATTGATCGATTTTGGATTAGCTACCAAATTGGATCCCAACGAGTTAGTCAAAATATCTACTGGAACTGCGGAGTTTGCCGCTCCTGAAATTGTTGAACGTGAACCGGTTGGTTTCTACACCGATATGTGGGCCGTGGGTGTACTAGCGTATGTTTTGTAAGTACCGTGCACGCTATGAATTTATCATCAAGGAGTTTGCCTAGGCTGAGTGGATTATCGCCGTTCGCGGGAGAAAACGATATCGAGACACTGAAGAACGTGAAAGCTTGCGACTGGGACTTTGACGAGGAAGCATTTGGCAATGTTTCTGATGAAGGCAAAGATTTTATCCGCAGATTACTACTTAAGAACAAAGAGTAAGTGGTGTAGGTGAGGCGGATGATTCTTATACCGTTTACATTCAGGAAACGTATGACTGCGGAAGAGTGTCTATTACACGATTGGCTCAGTGGTGATCATAGCAGCAAAACAAAGGTCATCGATCAATCCAGGTATCTTCGAGTTCGCGATAAGATACGTGCTCAGTATAAGGATTGGGATAAATACCTCCTGCCCATTGGTAGAATTTCAGAGTATTCGTCCTTACGCAAACTGCGACTGGAGAAATACAAAATACATGATGCATACTTTGGTGCGTAAGCTATTTTTGTAGCGTGATCAAGAGAGTAGGTGACTTCTTTCAGATCGAAGGCAAGCGGCACCAAGATTTGTAATAAAACCGCAAAATGCCTTCTGTTACGAAGGACAGAGTGTAAAATTGTACTGCAGGGTTATTGGCGTAGCTACGCCCACTGTGACGTGGCTGCGAAATAACCAGGAGCTAAGACAGAGTGTGAAGTTCATGAAACGATACGTCGGAGACAATTATTACTTCATAATCAATAGAGTGAAATTGGAAGACAGAGGCGAATACATCATTAGAGCAGAAAATCATTACGGTGCTCGCGAGGAAGTGGTATTCCTAAACGTTAGACGTAAGTAGAATTGGCGATTTTCATACTTTGAACTTAAGTGGTTTCTTCTTCAGAATTACCCAAAGTTGTTCCCGAATACAAACCTGACACTCAACCAATCCGAAGGAGAGAACCACTGCCATACATGTTCTGGCAAGAAGAACAAGAATGTGCTCCCAGCTTTACGTTCTTGCTTCGCCCGCGTGTTATGCAAGAGCGTGATACGTGCAAACTGTTGTGTTGCTTAAGTGGAAAACCAGTACCCACAGTCAAATGGTACAAGGATAAGCGAGAACTTAGCAAGTACGAATATTCCATGACACATTCTGATGGCGTAGTCACATTGGAAATAGTCGGTTGTAAACCGGAAGATTCTGGAAAATACACCTGCGTGGCTACAAACGTGCATGGACAAGATGAAACTTCTTGCATTGTAATTTGTGAAGGAGAGACAAGCACTGAAGAACAAACTAGACTTGCTGAAAAGATTCTACACTCTGGAGGTATACCAACCTTCCAGTTTTTTTTTAAGTAGGCAACCCTTGTGTTTCAGATCGTAAATACATAGAACATCCAATCAAACCGGCGCCCATACCTATTACTATAAAAAGGCCAATCTACACAAATACTCCAACACACCAAGCTGCAGCTCCCCCTGTAAATATCTCCCATTCCTCCTCAAATCTTAGTGTTAACGACATGGATAAACGAACGCCCAAAAGGTATGGAAGATTAGATTCCACAGGAAGTCCAAACAGATCAAGAAGTACAACTAAAGAACTCGCATGTAAGTAACGCTTTGGCAGACCTAAAATGGTCATAAAAGTGTAACTAAACGTTTCCGTTTTTAGTTCTCTTCCTCACAGGTACTTAAACACACATTATTTCCATTTCACTATTTTGTTCTTCATTACTTACGCAACTTCTTTTATAGTACCTCCAGACGATTCAGCAATGTGTAAGCCAGTGTTTACCAAAGAACTTAAAAACATGACGGTCGGAGACGGAGAATCGCTAACGTTGAGTTGTATCGTAAAAGGAGACCCAGAGCCACAAGTCGTTTGGTCAAAAAATAATAAGGTTGAATTAGGTGAAAGAAATCGAGTCGCTACATCTTTATTTTAGGTTCTGAGTTCCTCCGACATTATGGATTTGAAATATAAAAATGGTATAGCAACTCTTCACATTAATGAGGTATTCCCGGAAGATGAAGGCGATTACGTATGTAAAGCAACGAACTCCATAGGAACAATTGAAACACAGTGTCACCTCACGATTAAACGTAAGTTAAGATACAAATGAGGCCGTCTGTAAACTCTCTTCCAATAGCCATGTCGAGCGTAAATGGGGAAAAGTCAAAGAGTGGCGAAGATAAGGCTCCAGCGATTGTTGATCATCTACAATCTGCCTTGATCAAAGACGGTGATCCCGTAACGCTCTCTTGTCGCATTATTGGCGCAAAGAAATTTGACGTGATCTGGCTGCATAACAATAAGGAAATTAAACCTAGTAAAGACTTCCAGTATACTAACGAAGCTAATATTTATAAATTACATATCGCTGAGATATTCCCAGAGGATTCGGGCGCGTACACATGCGAAGCATTCAACGACATTGGCGAAAGCTTCAGCAGTTGTACATTAAACGTCAACATACCCGGCGAGCCGGTTAAGGCCCCTGTATTCAAAACATTCCCCACCTCCGTCACTGTTGCAGAGGGAGAAGTGGCCTCATTTCAGGCTGAAACCGAAGAAGAGCCGTTACAGATCAATTGGCTGAAGGATGGTAAACCCCTTAAAGAAAGCACAAAATATCGTTTTACGGTAGATGGAAAGCGTTACACCTTACAAATAATGTCGTGCGATTCTAACGACATTGGACAATATCAAGCTAAAGCAATTGGGAAGAAAGGAGAATCGTTTGCTGCTTTCTCTGTGAATGTGGTTCTTGGTGGAGATCTATAGAAACGCTCAATTAGTCAATTCACAAAATCGAACGACTTGCATCAGCAAGAGCTATTTTCTCTGTATATGTTGTGTATAAAAACTATATATTGTAAAAATTTGAGTACTTTCGAGTCTACTATGCTAGAAATCTGCTCAAACCTCGTACCAGCATCCTCAATTACCATCTTATGATGTTTATCAGGTTATAGCATAATAGACTCTTGACTCTACGCTAAACTGCAAATTAGTATCGAATTTTATTTTAATTTTTTTGCTTTAAATCGAATAAATGAAAGCAGTCATTGTAATTGTTTTGAATGAAATGAAAATTTTTGTGTGAAAGCAAATCGAAACGTTTCTCGTTGTGCTATTTTTTCAAGTTACTTTAAATCAACTGTGCATTGCTTATGCAGAACCAAATCCATTATGTTGTACTATATTATTATATAATTTCTGAATTAATGACTTTCATTCCAAGTTTTGAGGCTTTTGCGATACCTACAACTGTTAAAATCAGTTCTTGATTTACACCGATAAGTGCTTATAGAATTGTCATTCCAAATGGTTTGCCGTAGTTATGAGCTATAAGGTCTAAGTATATACCTACTAAGCTGGACTGCTGTTAGTGAAATCAAACTTCCCAATCACTCGCAAGAATATTATGGTACGAATCGTTTTGGAATCTACGCACCAAAATTTATAAGAAAAAGTGTTTTATCCCGCGAAATTTTGGAGTGGTCGATTTTTGGTAAAGAACGAAGTGTATACACTGGGTTTTTTTTGGGCCGGAAAAAATAATTGTCTGAGAGCGACCGGGAAAAAACATTTTCTTATAGAATTTGGCCTGTCGAATTCATAATTTCAAACAGTTTGAAGAGTGGGCTACTAGATCAAGAAAAAGTACGACTCGTTTTGGATTCTACGCACCAAAATTTATAAGAAAAAGAGTTTTCCCGAGAAATTTTAGAGTTTGAAGATTGGGCTACTAGTTCAAAAGTTACAGCCCTTTGAATTTTTATTCGAAATTGGTTTCTAGTCTATAACCTTTGATTGAGAAATCTGATCGAAAATGTACGAATTGTTTTGGATTCTACGCACCAAAATTAATAAGAAAAAGTGTTTTCCCGA